ATATCGCGTTGTCTTTCAAAGTGACGCCGAACATGTGAATGTACTGGAACCCATTGCGTGGTCATTGATTGGAATAGGGTGCTTCTTTGGTGTCATTTCATCTGTAATACGCTATGTGCTCAAACGGAGAGAAGAGGCAGTTAATAATGAGAGCATAACAGAGGTTCAAGCAAATGCTTTCCATCTACCAGAATCAGGCGTCATATCTACAACCAACAGAAAGAACAGCTCTTTTGAAATGTATTAATTAATTATGCACAAATCTGTTGCTATGAGAACTGTCTGTACCCAGGGCCGCAGGGGGGGGGGGGGGGGGTGGCTAGGGGGGCAAATTGCCCCGGGCCCCGAGGTGCTGGGGGGCCCCTGAAAAAATTTTTTTGGGCCCCAGTGTTTTTTGTGTGTTAAATATTTCCGCGCGAAGGACAAGATATCTGTTTTCTTCGTTTAAGTACCAAAATTTGGCATAAAAATGAGATAAAGTCCCTGGCAAGCAATTGTAACGTATTCGTCTGGAAAAATTTTAACCCCTAAAGTGGTGCACTAACCGAAAATTGTTTGGCGACGGGGGGGGGGGAGGTTGTCATCCTAAAAAATTTTTTTCCGAAAAAAAATTTTTAGATAGGGGCCCCCCAAAAAAATTTGCCCCGGGCCCCCGCCAACCTCTCGGCGGCCCTGTCTGTACCAGTGTAAGCAGTGTCAATAATACAAACAAGCTTTCGTTGGTAGGAATGCAACTACTTGAAAAATATAAGGCAGGACATTTTTTAAGAATTCGTCAGTGGAGAGGGGGGGGGGGGCTTTTACAAAAAGGGACCATACTATACCGGGTGTGAAGCAATGATAGATGGTTTGTTGGTAACAAAAAGTTTGGTGTAGTATCGCATTTAATAGGGAGCTTTAGATTTGACTACGAGTACGACTACGAGCATAGAGATTATAAATAACACTAGAGGAGGCATTGTAATCTTAATTCAGTAAAAAAAAGGGAACGCGACTATTGGGGGGCAAATTCAAGTCCCGGATGTGTATTCGTGT